AGCAACCTGGGCCAAATGTGGGACTGGATGGCAGACTTCGGTGATAAAGGATTTCGCAAGCCATATTTCCCTCATTTGAGCTCTTCCAATCTTCCCATTGAGTTTTCAATAGAATTGAATAGAATAGACTCCAGCACCGGGATTGTGGCGCAGCTGGCTGAGTGTCAGCTGCATTAAGATCACTCTGACCAAAAGGTCATGAGTTCGAAGCCAGCCCGGGCTGGAGTGGGTGTCCAGCCATTGTGTAGCCCGTTGTCGACCTTTGCAACCCGAAAGACAGTTGCATCTGTCAAGTAGGAAAATAAGGCACCACCTTGTGTGGGAGGCTAAATTTAACTAATTTATGAGGCCATAAAGAAAAAAGACTCCGGGGAATGTGGAATGCGGAAGAACTTCATCGGTGTCGTTGATGGACGATGAAAAGCAGCAGCTCCCCTGGCGGCCAGAAAAAAGTTAAATAGCCTTGGTGTATTTGTCTGTTAAACGTTGTTTGTCAAACTGGCATTGAATGTTTGCCATATATGTGTTACTGTAATCCGCCCTGAGTCCCCTGCGGGGTGAGAAGGGCGGAATATAAGAACTGTAAATAAATAAATAAATAAATAAATAACTTTACAAAGACGTACGTGGTACAACAAAATTAAATGCCTCCTCCAGCACACACCACAAAACAACACACCCATCCCTCCACACCCCAACCACCATTGCACGGCCCCCAATGCCACATCTATGTGAAGCCATTGAGTTCAATATAGTTACAGCTCTAGGATAGAAGCTGTCTCTCGGTCTGTTTGTCCTTGTCTTTGTCACCCTGTAACGTCTGCCAAGTGGCAACAATTAAAAAAAAGAATATGATGGGTGAGATGGCTCTGAGCTTTCTAAAGGCTGCGGAACCCATAAAGGAGAGAAAGGGGGCAATCAATTATTCTCTGTGCAGGTGGTGATCCTTTGGAGTGCCTTCCTATCTGCTACTGTTCAGTTACTAAACCACGTGCAGATGCAGTTGGTCAGGACACTCTATAGCACAACCTTGGATTCTAGCCAGTATTTCTGTAGTGAACACCTTGGATTGGATGGTTTTTCCTATTTTCGCCCTCTTTCCCCTACCCTTTTTGTTTCAGCAACACTTTTGGAGCCTGGATGAGACCATGGAGAAAGTGCCACCCAAGTTGATCATCCAGATCTGGGACAACGACAAATTTTCAGTGGATGATTTTTTAGGTATGAAGACTCCTGGAGTGAGGAAAAGATGTTTTAACCACAAGGCATTGCAAGAATGCAGGCCGTTTATAACCCAAGAACAAAAAATCGTGTTACATAGTGTAATCAAGTCCACAAAAGTCAAAGCTGCAGATGTGGAGGGATGGTGGCATACTTTTTTGGGGCAAATTTCAGCCCTCCAAGTGTTTTGAACCTCAACTCCTACCGGCTGTTAGGAATTGTGGGACATGAGGTCCAAGACACCTTGAGGACCCAAGTTTGCCCATGCCTGGCTTATACAGTCAACACATCACTATCTCTCCATCTCTCTTCCCATTTTGACAGATGCAGCTTCTGGAATATAGTGTTAGATATATAGTGCTAGTTGGGGAATGGAAGATGTTGGCATTCATGCTAGGAATGGTCCATCTGAAGAAGGTTGATGGGGAGGAAGAGAGGTAGAAATCCACATTGTATTCCCTTTGCAGGCATCCTGGAGCTGAACTTGACCAACATGCCTCGACCGGCCAAACGGCCCCGGGACTGTACCATCAAAATGCTGATGGAGGATGCCGCTCCCTCCTCCAAGCCTTTTTTGAAGCGCAAGAAACAGCAACACATTTCCATATTCACTCAGAGGAACACAAGGGGCTGGTGGCCCTGCATCATCATCGAGAAGGACAAACCACGCGTTTCGGCAAGTCATGGGGAGATCGGGGGACCCAGCAACCTGGGCCAAATATGGGACTGGGTGGCAGACTCTTCATGGATTGCATGGAGATTGAACCACAATGTATTGTCGAAGGCTTTCACGGCCGGAATCACTGGGTTGTTGTAGGTTTTTTTCGGGCTATATGGCCATGGTCTAGAGGCATTCTCTCCTGACGTTTCGCCTGCATCTATGGCAAGCATCCTCAGAGGTAGTGAGGTCTGTTGGAACTAGGAAAAAGAGTTTATATATCTGTGGAATGACCAAGGTGGGGCAAAGAACTCTTGTCTGTTGGAGCTAGTTGTGAATGTTTCAATTGACCACCTTGATTAGCATTTGATGGCCTGGCAGTGCCTGGAGCAAACTTTTGTTGAGAGGTGATTAGATGTCCTTGTTTGTTTCCTCTCTGTTGTTGTGCTGTTGCAATTTTTGAGTTTTTTTTAATACTGGTAGCCAGATTTTGTTCATTTTCATGGTTTCCTCCTTTCTGTTGAAATTGTCCACATGCTTGTGTATTTCAATGGCTTCTCTGTGTAGTCTGACATGGTGGTTGTGAGAGTGGTCCAGCATTTCTGTGTTCTCAAATAAAATGCTGTGTCCAGGTTGGTTCATCAGGTGCTCTGCTATGGCTGACTTCTAATGAATACTCCGCTTAACTTATCCAAATCCTCTTCCATGCCATAGTCAAACATTATCAATTGTCCTTTAACCTGATTGCCCGAAGGCCTGGTCCCACAGCCACGTTTTAACCTTTTTTCTAAGGTTAAAGCCTCACACACACTCTCCCTCTCCCACACATGTGCACCACACACATATGTGCACTACACTGCCATGCACTCTCTCCCTCTCCCACACATGTGCACCACACTGCCATGCACTGCCATGTGTTTTCTAATGATCTTTGGCGACCCCTCTGAAACCCCCTTGCAACCTCCTTGGGGTCTCAACCCGCAGCTTGAGAAATGCTGATGTAAGCAAACACTGACATGCCTACACTGTCTGTCCCCTGTGTCCTTCTTCTCTCTTTGACTTTTAAGGGCAAAGTGGAAATGACTCTGGAATTGCTGACCGAGTTTGAGGCTGAAGAACGACCAGCTGGCAGAGGAAGAGAAGAGCCAAACATGAATCCAGTCCTGACTCCACCAGAGTAAGAGCTCCTGGGTTCATTCTAGTAGAAATTGACAAGTGTGTTCTACTTGCCGATCCAGTATTATGGCAGCCTCCAGAACCGCCAGAACCCTTACCTTTTTGCACAGCAATCCAGCTGGGTCACTGTGCCAAGAGGGGAGGAGAGGCCAACTGCCCCGCTTTCCCACCCTACTTCATAACTAATTTTGCTACTGTTATGAATCCTCATGTAAATATCTGATATGCAGGATGTATTTTCATTCCCTGGACCAAATTTGGCACAAATAGCCGATATGCCCAAATCTGAATACTGGTGGGATTGGGGGATTGATTTTGTCATTTGGGAGTTGTAGTTGCTGGGATTTATAGTTCACCTACAATTAAAGGGTATTCTAAACACCAACGATGGAATTGAACCAATCTTGGCACACAGAACCACCACACTAGAAGGGTTTCATGGGCATTGACCTTGAGTTTTGTACATCTAGAGAGCACTGTGTACTCAAAGAATGATAGATCTGGACCAAACTTGGCACGGATACTCAATATGCCCAAATATGAACACTGGAGGAGTTTGGGGAAAATAGACATTGACATATGGGAGTTGTCATTGCTGGGATTTATAGTTCACCTATTTATTTATTTATTTATTTATTTACAATATTTATATGCTGCATTTCTTACCCCGAAGGGGTCTCAGACCAGCTTACAAGTTATATGTAAATACAATAAATTATATTATTAGCATAGCACAATATTAGTACCATACATTCCCATATTGTACTATACCTCTATATTGTAATATTATTAGTAATACTGCATGTAATATGAAATATATAATTATATTGTATTATTATTAGGATTATATTGTATTACATTATAACATATAACCTATCATCAGAGAGAAGTTTCGAACCCCACAAATGTTAGAATTAAGTTGTAATTCACCTACATCGAGAGGAAATGTGGACTCAAACAATGATGGATTTGGACCAACATGGCCAATTGTGAATACTGATGGGATGTGGGGAGGATTGACCCACAATTTTGGGAGTTGTAGTTAACCCACATCCTTATGCATTTTCTAATGGAAACATTAATAAAAATCAAAAGGAAATACTGACTTTTTCTAATGAATAGCGTTACATATTACCTAAGCTGTGTCTGCTGCTTCTCCTCCTGATGCTGTTGGACCACTTTCAGCCCCAGATCACACGGGCACTTTTCCTCTTGCCTTGTACTCGCTGCTGTGAGCTTCCCTCCAGCCTCGCACGCTCTCCCTCGCCCACACACGTGCAACTACGCTGCCATACGCCAAGTATGCCTGCTCTCCCCTCCCCGCTTGGAGTCTTAGAAACAGCCCTCCCCTTGGTGGAGAGGCCAACTGAGAGGCCGGTCAATCACAGCAGGAGGGCTTTTGGTGGGTCCCAACTCCCTGGTTGAGAAATGCTGCCCTAAAGCTTCATACTTGTCTCAAATTTTAGCCCAAAGTCTTAATGCAAGTGGTCTTATTGACTTGAATAATGTTCAGAGAGGCTGGATCCAGCTATTTTAAAATAAGGGGTGCCCACACAGTAGTGGTCCTACTGGTCAGTCGTAAGGCCGAACAGGGCATAAGGTTACAGCCTGTGTTAGATGGAGTTACACTCCCCCTGAAGACGCAGGTTCGCAGCTTGGGAGTTCTCCTGGACTCATCGCTGAGCCTGGAACCCCAGCTCTCAGCGGTGGCTGGGAGAGCTTTTGCACAATTAAAACTTGTGCGCCAGTTGTGCCCGTACCTTGGGAAGTCAGATCTGGCCACAGTGGTCCATGCTCTTGTTACATTCCGAATAGATTACTGCAACGCACTCTACGTGGGGTTGTCTTTGAAGACTGTTCGGAAACTTCAAGTAGTCCAACGGGCAGCGGCCAGATTACTCACCGGAGCGTCATACAGGGAACATACCACCCCTCTGTTACGTCAGCTCCATTAGCTGTCGATCCAGTTCCGAGCACAATTCAAAGTGCTGATTTTGACCTACAAAACCCTATACGGCTCCGGCCCAGCGTACCTGTCTGAACGCATTTCCTTCTACGTCTCGAAGTTTAAGATCTTCTGGGGAGGCCCTGCTCTCGGCCCCATCTCTATCACAAGTGAGATTGGAGGGGACGAGGAGCAGGGCCTTCTTGGTGGTGGCCCCTCGTCTGTGGAACTCGCTTCCTGGGGAAATTAGGTCATCGACATCCCTCCTCTCGTTTAGAAGGAAACTAAAAACATGGATATGGGACCAGGCCTTTGGGTAATCTGGCAGACAGACAAAGGACAATGACGACTAGAATTGGATAGGATTATGACAATGCGGAATGAAGTTACGGATTTTGAGCTTGGCGAACGTTGATCATAAGATTGTTTTTTTATTAGTTGTGCTGTATAACTGGATTGTTTTAATTGTTTTTAATTGTTGCTGATATATATATTTTATCTTACGATTGTATTGCTGGCATCGAATTGTACCTTCTGTAAGCCGCCCTGAGTCCCCCCTTGGGGGTTGAGACGGGCGGGGTAGAAATGCGTGAAATAAATAAATAAATAAATAGTGGCCTTTGGCAGTGCCGACCACTAGCCATTTTGCTCTATGAGGCGAGGTACAGAAGAAAGTGGAAACAAGTGCCAAAGACAGCCCTTGACCAGTTTGCTTTCTCATCCTCCCTCTTCCCATGCGCAGGAGGCCAGAGACCTCTTTCCTGTGGTTCACCGCCCCCTTGAAGAGCGTACACTTCCTCATCTGGCAGAAAAGCAAGTGGAAACTCCTCATTTTCTTTTGCTGCATCTTGGTGTTCTTCCTTTTCGCTTCCTTCATCTATTCAGCTCCCGTAAGTCTACTGGGGAAAGGAAGGGCATACACAAAGGCACCAACAGCCCTTTCACACTTATACCAGCATATAGCACAGGCATGGGCAAACTCTGGCCCTCTGGATGTTTTGGACTTCAATTCCCACAATTACTAACTGCTATGACTGTGCAGGTACAACTGCACCAGGAGCTCCAATTTTGTTTGCTTTGCATTGAATGTTTGTTGTAGTCCTAAGTTTCAGGGACTCTGCAGATAGGTGGCTTCTTTTGGCTGCAATCATAGGGCAAGCCACCTGTCAATTATAGTTAGGTTCCCTGGTCCCGCCCCCTTTTTGGGTTTTGGAGGGAATAGGAGCCTTTTTGGGTTCAGTCCACACAGAGAAGCTTTCCATGCAGGACATAATACCAAGAGCTCCTGTAGAAAGCTTCGTCTTCTACAGCTTGGCCGGGGAGAAAAGGCCCCACAGCTTGGCTGAGGATTTTGCAGCCTCACAGCTCCTTTGCTGAGGGAATCTGGTCCCACAGCACTTCAGCCAGCCATCACCGAAACCTGAACTCCTTCTTTTCCCCTGGAAGTCTACAAAGCTCTGCTTGGTAAGGGTCACTCGCGGAAGCCAGAAGCAGTTGGTACCGGGTGCAGGGGCTCCACGCCAACAGAGGCAAAGACAGACTGCCCAGATTAGAAGTTAAGGATTTCCCCATTAGTTACAGTTATGAAGATAGTGCCTGTTCCCTGTGGACAAGATTGAGAGAGAGCCAATAGACTGTTAAGAAAGCCTTAAAGTACCTGTTTGTTTTCATTAATAAAGAACTTTGTTGAACCTTTAAGCAATCTAAAGACTCTGTTTTAAGGAAATCCAAAGGCCTTTAATCTGAGGCAGCCCCGGCATCCCGTTGGGCACACAGAATTTATGTCCTGTCTACAGTCTGATGCACAGGCCTAGCGTGCGACAGCACAATGACCTAGGTCTTTCTCTTCCTTTTGTTCCTCAGGGCTACTTGGCAATGAAGCTGATTCAGCCCATGTCAGGCACAAGCAAAGTTGAAGTAAAACTGGCACCCAACTATCTGCCACCATCAGCTGCCCCACAAGTGCCACCTGCTCCCATCGAGACAACAACAGCCCAGCAACCACCACAAGCTCCCCCAGAAACAACATCGCCAAAGCCAGCTCACAGGAAGCAGCCAGGAACCCGGAGGAAACAGCCACCGGCTTCCAAGAAACCACCACGGGCTTCCAAGAAACCGCCACCAGCTTTCAGGAAGCAGCCTCCAGCTTCCAAGAAGCCACGACCAACTTCCAAGAAGCCACGACCAACTTCCAAGAAGTCTCCATCGGTTTCCAAGAAACCTCCTCAAGCTCCCAAGAAGCCATTAACTCCCAAGAGGAAACGGCCCACATCCAAGAAAAGCCACCAATCCCCACCAAAAGCCAAACCTCTTCCCTCCCCGTAGCAGATGCCAGTAACTTTACCAATACTGTTGGTCTGATTTATCCTGGAGTGATGTCTCCCACCTCCTGTTTTGGTTTCCCAGTAACTTGCAGAAAAGGGATCCAGCTGGTCTTCAATGGTGCCTCCTTTCAAATCTCCTTGCCTTCCAGCCATGATTGATGTCTTCAGATTGCAACTATAGGATTATGGCATTCTAGACAAAGCTGGATAAGTGGGAACAATCAGCCAAAATAAGGCTTCCTTTAATTTCTTAAAATAAAATTAAAGCTCAAGAGTTTGTAGACCTTCTTTGTCCTACAAGCTGATAAGATGAAAGAGGTTGTTGGTGAGGATTCCCCATCATATGATGGAATCAAGAACTGGCATAGTCAATTCCAATGTGGTCTCAATAGCAGAGTGGGGTCGCTCCAGTTCCAGGGCGACCCCACTCTGCTATTGATGAACACACCATCCAGCAAGGGGATGTCACAATTTTGGAAAATAACCGCGTAACCATTTGCCACCTAGCCCAAAATGTCAACATCAAAATCACCCAAGATCATCTTCACCTGCATAAGGTATTGGCTTTCTGGGTCTCCTGGTTGCTCACACCTTTCCAGAAGCAGGAACGAGTTGCATACTCTCAGGCTGTCTTGACAATGATGTGCCATGGAAACCAGGAGGACTTTGTCAACACTTATTTATCATGGCAGAAGTGAACCAAGGGTACAGTTGTAATGTATTTTAAACACAAAGTTATAAAACTTGGCATTACGATAAATGTCCTTTGACCAGAAACTGGCCACTTGGAGTGCCTCTGGTGTTGCTATAGAAGGTCCATTGTGCATGTGGCAGGGCTCAGGGTGCATTGCAGCAGGTGGTCAGTGGTTTGTTCTTCTCCGCACTCGCATGCCGAGGATTCCACCCTGTAGCCCATTTCTGAAGGTTGGCTCTGCATCTCGTGGTGCCAGAGCGCAGTCTGTTCAGCGCCTTCCAAGTCGCCCCGTCTTCTGTGTGCCCAGGGGGGAGTCTCTAATTTGGTATCAGCCATGGGTTTTTTAGCCTGCCACTTTTGGGCTCTCACTTGCTGAGGTGTTCCTATATCTCTGTAGATCTTTAAAAAACTATTTCTTAATTTAAGGCCTTGGCATGCTGGCTGATATCCAAACAGAGGATGAGCCAGAGATGTCCATGCCTTGGTCCTTTCATTGTTGGCTGCTACTTCCCGTGGATATCATTTGGGTGCCATCCCGACTAAGCAGTATTTCTCCAGTGGTGTGGGGCGTAGACATCCTGTGACAATGTAGCATGTCTCATTCAGAGCCACATCTACTGTTTTAATATGGTGAGATGTATTCCACACTGGGCATGCATACTCAGCAGCAGAGTAGCAAAGCACAAGGGCAGATGTCTTCACTGTATCTGGTTGTGATCCCTAGGTTGTGCCCGTCAGCTTTCGTATATTGTTTCTAGCACAAGATTGTTTCAACTGACTGATCACACAGGATGATATCTGGGCCATCACTCTGACCCTGAGACTAAAGTCCTGTCGATGCAATGGAAGCATCCTGACTCACCGCCTCCAAAGAAGGCATGTGCCCAACTCTCGGCAGGCAAGGTCATGCTTACAGGATTTTGGTACCAACACGGAGTAGTAGTGATGGATTTCCTAGCAAAGGGCACCATGATCACTGGGGCATACTGTGCTTCACTGTTGCAGAAATTACAGGAGGCCATCAAAATAAAGAGAGAATGTGGCATGCTCACCAAAGTTGTTGCACCAGTCCACAACTCACCTGTTGCCCAAATGGAAGCATGCCCCGGTGGCTTTGAAATTCTACCACACAGCCCTTATTCCCCCGACCTTGCACCATCGGACTTCCACCTCTTTCCAACCATTAAGTTATTTTTGAAGGGCAAGCGTTTTTCTGTAAACTGTGTGGCCCAATTGTTGATTGGGTTTGCAGATGACTAGGACATCTAGAAATTGCAGTTTTCCTTGTTTTCTTTTTCCATGTTTTTTTTTGTCGTGTCAGGGGCGACTTGAGACTGCAAGTCGCTTCTGGTGTGAGAGAATTGGCCATCTGCAAGGACATTGCCCAGGGGACGCCAGGATGTTTTAATCATCCTTGTGGAGGCTTCTCTCATGTCCCCGCATGAGGAGCTGGAGCTGATAGAGGGAGCTCATTCGCCTCTCCCTGGATTCGAACCTGAGACCTGTCGGTCTTTAGTCCTGCCGGCACAGGGGTTTAACCCACTGTGCCACCGGGGGCTCCTTTTTCCATGGTGAATTGGATATTTGGGTGGATACTGTTGAGGTGGGTCCAAATTGTGAAGGTGTCACCCACAAATCTGGACCATATAGTGGGCTTTTTTGTTGCTCTTTCCAGAGCTTGTTTTTCAAAGTGTTCCATGTAGAAATTTGCTATGAATGGGCCGAGATACTCCATGCTAATCAAGATGGCCGATTGCAACATTCATACTTGCCTCAAAGACGACAAGAGTTCTCCCACCCTGGACATTTCCCAGATATATAAACCTCCCTCACTTAGTTTCCAATATACCTCACAACCTCTGAGGATGCCTGCCACAGATGTGGGCAAAATGTCAGGAGAAAATGCTTCTGGAACATGGACAGACAGCCCGGAAAACTCACAGCAACCCAACGTTTCCTTTCCTCCTTTTGTCACGCATATATCCTCTGGTGAGGCACAGAACCCAACCAAGGTGGTAATTCTATACTTTAGTATAGGTAAAGGTTTTCCCCTGACATTTGTCTACTCGTGTCCGACTCCTGAGGGTGTGTGTGCTCATCTCTATTTCTAAGCCTAAGAGCTGGCGTTGTCCATAGACGCCTCCAAGGTGATGTGGCTGGCATGACTGCATGGAATGCCGTTACATTCCCACTGGAGTGATACATATTGTTCTACTCACATTTGCATGTTTTTGAACTGCTAGGTTGGCAGAAGCTGAGGCTAACAGCGAGAGCTCACGTCACTCCTCGGATTCGAACCTGCAACCTTTTGGTCAGCAAGTTCGGCAGCTCAGTGGTTTAACCCCTGCACCACCGGGGGCTTTATTTATTTATTTATTTACTTTATTTATATACCGATTTTCTCAGCCCTCAGGCGACTCAAAGCTTTTAGTATGTCTTGATGTTATTCCAATACGGCAGTCTATTAGGGACACCACAGCACTTCTGAAAGAGGGAAAGAGACACACACACATACGCAGAGTTTGTGGCACACTGCCCCTGATAAAATAAAACACGCAGCAGCTTCGACAGAACAAAAAGTCTCAAGGGACCAAAGATAAATAGAATAAAAGCTCCCTTCTTTGTTTTTTGAAGGAAGGAAAGAATTCACATTTGTTTATTCAGCAGGCTAGTGTTTTCAGTGCAATGCTTGCCCTCTTCTACAGACCATACTTGACCTGCCAGTGACAAGAACAGTGGTCTTGATGCCTATATGTTACTGGTTTTTCTTGCCAGAGAGGTCAAGGCAAAGAGGAATTCACAATCCTTTCGATGTTCTAGGACTGTCCCTCCCATCAACCTTTACCAGTATAACCAATGGTAAAGGCTCATGGGAGTTTTGAGTCCAGCGATATCCGGAAGGCCACTTACTCCCCGCATCCAGGCTTCAGGTGCTAGCTAAGGCATCCTGCAGCATCACATTCAGACCAGAGATCCAGGGCGAAAATGCCTCGGTCTCTCACGTTCCCCCTTGATGCCACCAAGTGCAAAGTCTCAAGCTTCCAGGCAGCTGAGGGTCTCCGAGATCTGCTTGCCAAGTCCATTCTGACCTATGCGATTGAGGATATGTCTATCAACTGCCACATTTTGTAGAAGACTCGGTTCAACGAAGGCATAGCAAAAGGAAAGTGGTCATAAGGCTGTCTTCTCCACCCCAGGGCTCAATAGGAAACTCAAACCATTCAAAGTGTAAGGCCCAGAAGGACTGGAGCCTTGGCAGCACAGCTTCTTGAGATAATCCCATGGCAAGAAACCCCAGCCGTGGTCCAGAAGGCAAAAAAAGGGGCGGGGTGAGGAACCGGAGAAGGGACGTCAGTAAAAGTGCTTCCGGCTCTGTTCCTGCCATTTGTTGTAGACGATGATGCCGATGACAATGGCAAAGACAAGAGCCACCAACGAGAAGAAGACAATCAGGAAGAGGGCCAGGCCGCTCATAGGCTCCATCGGGGTCTCCACTGCAGGGGAAAGAGGCACCAGATAAGCGTAAGAGACAGAAAGCAGAAGCAGCACCTCTTTGCCTAGACCACCTGTGGGGAGACCCACTGAACAGGCAGGCTGCTATTGCCCCAAAAGCCAGGGCAGCCTAGCGGGAGGAGGGTCAGACTGGTGGGAAGCAGATTCATAGCCCATTTGCCCATGAACTAAAATGGAGGGCCTCAGCCACGTAAACCTCCCAGGCTAATAAAATGCACGCAGAAAACTATAWGATGTTGTAGTTCAGGTATGGGCAAGCCCGCTCCCAGGAACCAGATGCAGCCCCCCCCCCCCGGGCCCTTTTTTCAGGCCCCCCTCTCTCTCACCATTCCATCCTTCCTTCCTTCCTTCTCTCTTTRCTTCCTCCTTCCCTTACTTCCTTCCCTCTTTCTGCTATCTTCCTTCCTTTTTGTCTTTCCTTGCTCCTTCTCTCCTTCCTTCCTTTTTGTCTTTCCTCCCTCCTTCCCTTTCCCCTGCCTTCCTTTCCTTTTGTTTCCTTCTTATCTCTTTCCTTCCTCATTCTCCCTCTGCTTCTTTCCTTCCCTTTCCTTTCCTTCCTTCCCTCTTTTCTCCCTCCTTCCTCTCTCTCTTCCTTCCCTTTTGTCTTTCCTTCCTTCCCTCTTTCCACTCTCCTTCCATCTCTTTCTTCCTTCCCTTTTGTCTTCCCTTCCTTCCCTCTTTCCACTCTCCTTCCATCTCTCTCCTTCCTTCCCTTTTGTCTTTCCTTCCTTCCCTCTTTCCACTCTCCTTCCCTCTCCTTCCTTCCCTTTTGTCGTTCTTCCCTTCTCTCTTACCTCCCTCCCTCCCTCCATTCTCTTCCACCCTTTCTTTCATCCATCCATCCTTCTCTTCTACTATCTTCCTTCTTTTTTTTTCTTCCTCCTGGGAGATGCTTAGCTGGGTGAAGAGAAAGTAAGGAGGGAACATGAGAACCATGTTTCAAGATTTCAAAGAGTGTCCCATTGAGGAGGAAGGAGGGGGGAAACTGACTTTTGTCATCACCCACTACTTACTCAAAATAACAAATATTTGCTTAATTTAAAGTTTTTTTTCAATTGGAAGGTCTTTTGAATCAGCAAGACATTTCCACCACAGGTGTGCACCATCCGGGCCCCTCTTCCAATGGCTCTTGGGCACAAAACCCCATCTACTTACATCCAGGCAGTTTCATGTTGTCCACAACCGGAAGAAAGACTTCTTTGTCCCGTTTTTCTTCCTCCATCGTCCGTTCAACAGTCAGTTGATACAGCTTCAGAGAGATGATGTCGTGGTTGTCTGGGGCAGAAGAGGAAAGGACATCATGTATCTTAAAGAAACCCACCTGGAAGGACAAGCCATCCCATCCCAGCTGACCTGCCATATTTCCCACCTCGTAAGTGTTTCGGGGATGGACCACCAATCGGCAGTCACAGTTTTGTGAAATCTGCTGGGTGTCATCATTGGATATCCATGTTGGAATTCAACCCCACACTGCCCAAGTCTCAAGTCTTCAATGAGGAGCAGAGGGCCACCCTGTCCCATTTTCCATCCCACAAGCCCTTCAAACCCCATTTCTGGTTTCCAACAGAAATGGAAGGGACTGGAAGGTCAATTAAATTAATTAGGATGTAGAGAAAATATGTGGCCCTCGAGACATTGGCACCCAATTTTTGTAGACCAGTATTGCAAATCTGAATACCGGAGCCTGGTCTGAGATGTGTCCTGATGGCAAAATGGTGATGGCCATTACCATTTTGAAAAAATAACATGTTTAGCCCTCTACATCCGATTCTTTCTAGAATTCTATGCATGTGATCATGGGCAACACTGGGGGGAAAACCCCAAAAGGCCAGCGGTATCATTTATGAGTTCATTTCTATTCCCAACATCTTTTAAGTGCTACAAAGCTCCAGACTGAAAGAAACTGTTTACAGCAGAAATTGAAAATTCATAGTCCTCTGGACCCGACTGGACTTCCATCAGCCTAATGTATACAACTAAGGCTGGGGACTAGGGCAGTTACGATCATGCGCAAAGCAAAGCAACAGGATGATCCGTACCCGAAAGGTCTCCAGTGACAGAGGAGACTCCAAAATAGTATCCTCGTGGCAAGTGGACTCCTGGAATATCTACGCAGTCTCTCCATTCATGCTTGCCATCAATATCAAGCAAAATCTATGGAGAAAAAAAAAACATGGAGTCAGCAGAAACTGAAAGAGCGATCCAGTCCATCCCATTCCGCTATACAGGAATACCCAATCCAAGCAGTCCCGACAGATGGCCATCCAGCCTCTGTTTACAAACCTCCAGAGAAGACTCCACTGGAATCTGAGGCAGCATATTCCACTGCCTGATCTTGGCACCAGGATGTTTTCCTAACGTTTAGGTGGGATCTCCCTGCAATTTGAATGCACTGCTCCATTGTGTCTCTAGGGCAGCAAAAAACACTGAACTTGCCCAGTCCTTAATGTAACATCCCTTCAAATATTTAAACATGGTTCTCATGTCCCCTTTTCTCAACCTTCTCTTTTCAAAAGCTATCCAGGTTCCTAAGCCACTCTTCACGGTTTCCAGACTTTTGCTCATTCTGTTCACCCTTCTCAGGACACCTTCCAACATGGAATCCTAATTGCCCTCTTTCCCAGGATGCACTTGGGCAGGGGAACTCAGGAGGAGAAGGGAGAAGTGACATGGGTGTTGCACTCCAAGGCTGGGATTTACTTCTGTACTTGACACACAAACCAGCCCAAGGTAAAATAGCAAATCAGTTTATTGAAGTGTATGTGTGTGTGTATAGCAATTCAGGAAAATAGTGTAAAAACCAGTGTCCAAAAACAGGAATAATCCTCAGAGTTCAGAGTCCATGATATGCATAAATAACCAGGAATACAAAATCAGAATAAATCAAAACATGCAATACAGGAATACAAAAGCAGAATAAATCAAAACATGCAATATAGACAGAAAACCATGTCATTTCCCTTCAAAAGCTGATAAAGGTTTCTTTGCTAATAAACAACTAGACCTTCGTAATGCCTCATGAGAAACTCTATGTTGACAGAACATCAATTTCCTATTTAACTGCTGCCCATCCACCTAGAGTTGAATCTCCCTCTCCTGAGCTCAGTTCTCCCTCTGACCTTGAAACTATGTTTCTGGAATGTGGCCTCCCTCGCTCTCATTCCCAGGGCTTGGAGAATCTCCTGATTCTCTCGCTGATCTGCAGGCCTGGAATCCCCACTTGTCATCCACAGGCTGCCTAACAGGCCCAAAATCGCGACAGAGATCAGGTACAGGCACGATCAAAGGCTGGACTACAACAACGGGTAACAAATGGAAAGAGCATCATCAGGCACTCACAGTCAGCCTCCTCTTCACATAGCGGATCACCAGGAAAGTGTCGTGGTTGAGGTTGCGCACCATGGCCGTGCAGCCGCCCAGTTCGGTGGGCCTCCCATCTCGGTCGTGGTCGTAGGCAAGGGAGCCGTTGCTTACCATGGTAGAGACATAAGGGAAGATGCGCTGGAGGACGAGACAGGGAGGCGGGTCTGGGTGTCACTCCGTAGACCTAGCTGTGCCAATTGGATAATGGAGGAGGGAGGGAGGCACATGCAGGGGAGGCAGCCAAGCAAGACAGGAAGAAACTTCAGTACAAGCAGCTGCAGGGCCCTCTCTCCACAAGCAAGCATCTCAGCCAGAGAGCGGCATGACCAATTTGAAGGTGAAGGTGCCAGACGTTTGGCATGGGGTGAGGATGAGAGAAAGACACCAACTACCAAAGCCATCAAATCCCTGGCCAACTGTCCAGAGTTAGGGAGCCATGCTGGAGGCCCACGGCATCTGGATCACTGTGCCTCCCTAATTCACAAATTGCCCCATATGCAGGATGCCTTGACTACTGATATCCCTTTAAGTCACCTGTTGACTTAAAGCAGTGGTTCTCAACCTGTGGGATCCTTAGGTGTTTTGGGCTACAACTCCCAGAAATCCCAGCAGGTTTACCAGCTGTTAGGATTTCTGGGAGTTGACGGCCAAAACATCTGGGGACCCACAGGTTGAGAACCACTGACTTAAAGCAGCTCCATGAATTTCACAGTGTTTCCTTAGACAATCCCAATGACAACGCAGATGACACACAACTCTATTACTCCTTCCCACCGAAATCCCAGGAAGCCCCCCGAATCCTGGACCAGTGCCTGGCAGCTGTGATGGACTGGATGAGGGTCAATAAGCTGAAGCTGAATCCAGACAAGACAGGGGCCCTTCTGGTCAGTTGCGATGCCAATTGGGGTATAGGATGGCAACCTGTGCTGAACTATAAATCCCAGCAACTACAACTCCCAAATGTCAAGGTATATTTTCCCCAAACTCCACCAGAATTCACATTTGGGCATATTGAGTATTCATGCCAAGTTTGGTCCAGATCCATCATTGTTTGAGCCCACAGTGCTCTCTGGATGTAGGTGAACTACAACTCCAAAACTCAAGGTCAATGCCCACCAAACCATTCCAGTATTTTCTGTTGGTCATGGGAGTTCTGTGTGCCAAGTTTGGTTCAATTCCATTGTTGGTGGAGTTCAGAATGCTCTTTGATTGTAGGTGAACTATAAATCCCAGCAACTACAACTCCCAAATGACAAAATCAACCCCCCCCCACCAGTATTCAAATTTGGGCATATTGGGTGTTTGTGCCAAATTTGGCAGTGAATGAAAATACATCCTGCATATCAGATATTTACATTATAATTCATAACAGTAGCAAAATTACAGTTATGAAGTAGCAACAAAATAATGTTATGGTTGGGGGTCACCACAACATCAGGAACTGTATTAAGGGGTCGCGGCATTAGGAAGGTTGAGAAACACTGCTCTACTGTATGTTTATTTTATGTTTTGTTTTCAGGCACCTTGTGCCATATGAAGGCCACCCCAAGTCCCTTCGGGGAGATGGTGGCAGGATACAAAAATAAAGTTGTTGTGGTTCTTGTTGTTATTATCATCTATCCTCCAAGGTGGTTTTGCCAGTTCCTTCTTCTGAAACACACCCAACAGCACCTGAGATTTGTTGGCAGTTTCCCTTCCAAATACTAGCTCAGGCTGACCTGCTTAGCTTCAAATATTGGGTGAAATCTGGTCCCCTGCAGGTATATAAATGGTAAAGGAACCAGATTTACTCTGAGGTAAATGCAAATATGGGGGCTTCATAACCAATGTTTTACGAAAAGCAATCAAGGAAAGAGATGAGGGATGAACTAGAGAAACTAGTCTGCTCCAGCAAATGAGGCAGAGGTTCATTTCTTGCCCTTCTCCGGCTCCGGGGAAAGGTTCCCAACATGTTAAAAATACAAGAGGAGAAAGGGAAGCAGAGGAAGCAAATGAAGGCATAACAAAGTGGGAAAGGCTTTGTCCGGTACCTGGTTTCCTCCGGAATACCTCTTCTTCTGTGCCTGAGAGAATCCAGAACGGTTATTGCAAAGCAAAGGAGAGAGGGAAAGGGGACAGAAGCAGGACACATGTCACCCTTCAAATCATTTCAGAATGACCTACAAACTGGGAAACCGGAATCATAGAATCAAAGAGTTGGAAGAGACCTCATCGGTCCATCCAGTCCAACCCCCTGCCAAGAAGCAGGAATATTGCATTCAAATCACCCCTGACAGATGGCCATCCAGCCTCTGTTTAAAAGTTCCAAAGAAGGAGCCTCCACCACACTGCAGAGAGTTCCATTGCTGAACGGCTCTCACAGTCAGGAAGTTCTTCCTCATGTTCAGGTGGAATCTCCTTTCTTGTAGTTTGAAGCCATTGTTTCGCTTCCTAGTCTCCAAGGAAGCAGAAAACAAGCTTGCTCCCTCCTCCCTGTGGCTTCCTCTCACATATTTATACATGGCTATCATATCTCCTCTCAGCCTTCTCTTCTTCAGGCTAAACATGCCAGCTCCTTAAGCCGCTCCTCATAGGGCTTGTTCTCCAGGTCCTTGATCATTTTAGTCGCCCTCCTCTGGACACATTCCAGCTTGTCAATATCTCTCTTCAATTGTGGTGCCCAGAATTGGACACAATATTCCAGGTGTGGTCTCTTGAAAAACTGTAACAAAATATGCTGCAGGATGTTCCTCCTCTTGATGCAGGCCAAAATCCCATCACATTGTTGGCTCATGTTTAACTTGTTGTCCACGAGGACTCCAAGATCTTTTTCACACGTACTGCTCTCGAGCCAGGCAGTCCCCCATTCTGTATCTTTGCATTTCGTTTTTTCTGCCAAAGTGGAGTATCTTGCATTTGTCACTGTTGAACTTCATTTTGTTAGTTTTGGCCCATCTCTCCAATCTGTCAAGGAAAGGGAAACCTTGCTCACTCTTGCCCCTGAACCCCAACATCCATCCAATTCTGCACGACTAACTTCACAAGGGCATGACTGAACCCACGTCAAGTACTAGGAAAAGAATGAGATGTCAATCATGCACCAGGTGCATATAGCTGCAGGGGCGGGAATCATGTGCTTTGAATGTTATTTTCCTGCTTCTTGGCAGGGGGTTGGACTGGATGCTATGTCCAACTCTAGGATGCTATGTGGTTGGACTACGATACCCTACAAGTCACTGTACAGTCCAAAGCTGAAGGGAAATCCAATACAGTGGGAGAGTCACAGAATATCTAGCATAAAGGAAGTCCAGGACAGTGCCAATTCTGGCTGAACACACTCAACACTTCATCCAATTTGGCCCATGGTTAATGACTGATTTAACCATGTTCCTTAAAAGATGTCCTTTATTTGGTCCCAGAGGACAGGCAAAAACATCACCCAAAGTCCAGCCCCACAACCCTTTGCCATACGTTTACGCAAGCCACCTTACCTCTTGCTGTTTCTCCTCATTGGGGTAGGTGTCTACAAACACTCCCAGCCCTATAAAGTTGTCTTTGCTCCCGAAGACGGGCCCTAGAATAGATTTCATTGAGTTCACAACGGATCAGCAGCAGCAGCAGATTTCCTAGCATTTCATTCCATAATTGTGGCAAAACAGAAACATTCAATGTATTTTTGGAAGGCTTTCATGGCCGGAGTCACTGGGTTGTTGTAGGTTTTTTCGGGCTATATAGCCATGTTCTAGAGGCATTTCTCCCGACGTTTCGCCTGCATCTATGGCAAGCATCCTCAGAGGTAGTGAGGACTGTCACAGACCTCACTACCTCTGAGGATGCTTGCCATAGATGCAGGCGAAACGTCAGGAGAAATGCCTCTAGAACATGGCCATATACCCTGAAAAAACCTACAACAACCCAGAAACATTCAACTTCTATATAGTGTGGGGCAGGAATAATGACCATCCCTCCCCTTTTTCCCAATCCAGAAGGGCTTTCCCTTTACTTATTTATTTATTTACTACACTTATTTACAATTAAAACATTAACATCTATATATATATAAATCTGTTAGGTTGGTTCAACCGGACAGCAAAACTCCACAACCCCCCAACGAAACTGTACCAAAATTGCCATGCCCATAACACAACCCACAAGGTACAAACATATCTACTCAAAATGAAAAACAACACAACAACACTCACAAAACGGCAAAACAACAAAACTCAAAAAAACCCCAACGAAACTTAACCAAAATTCCCATGCCCATAACACAACCCACAAGGTACAAACATATCTACTCAAAATGAAACACACAACAACACACTCACAAAACGGCAAAACAACAAAACTAAAAAAAACAACGAAACTTAACCAAAATTCCCATGCCCATAACACAACCCACAAGGTACAAACATATCTACTCAAAATGAAAAACAACACAACAACACACTCACAAAACGGCAAATCAACAAAACTCACAAACCCCCCAACGAAACTTAACCAAAATTCCCATGCCCATAACACAACCCATAAGGTACAAACATATCTACTCAAAATGAAAAACAACACAACAACACACTCACAAAACGGCAAAACAACTGAGCATGCGCATTGGTGCCCAGCCGCAAGTTCCCTGGCGCGCGCACACAGTTCCCTCTGCGGAAGCCATGCCCACTCCAAGCCCCGCCATGCCGCTTCCCGCACACACACACCCCCTGCCGCACGCACACACACAACCCCACGCTCCATCACTCCCCCCGCCGCACACACACACACAACCCCACGCTCCATCACTCCCCCCACCGCCACACACACACACGCAACCCCACTCCCCCTGCCACCACACACACACACGCAACCCCACGCTCCATCACTCCCCCGCCGCCGCACACACACACGCAACCCCACGCTCCATCACTCCCCTGCTGCAATCTTACCTCCTTTTACTTCACGCCACCTCCAAACCCCACCGCCCCTTCCCGCCCTGTCAAAATCAAGAAAGAAAGGAAGGAAGGAAAGAAGGAAGAAAGAGAAAGGGAGGAAAAGAAAAAGGGGGAAGGAAGGAAAGTTAGAGAAAGAAGGAAGAAGAAAAGGAAAGAAAAGGAAAGATGGAAGAAAGAAAAGAGAGACAGCAGAAGAGAAAGAAAAGGGGAAGGAAGGAAAGAGGTAGAGAAGGAAGAAATGAGAGAGAGGGAAGGAAAGAAAAAGGGGAAGGAAGGAAGGAGAGAAGGAAAGAAAAAAGGGAATGAAGGAAGGAAAGAGGGAATGAAGGAAGGGGGAAGATGTAGAGAAAGAGGGAGGGAAGGAAAGAAGGAAAGAGAGAAGGAAGAAAAGAGACCAGAAGAGAAAGAAAAAGGGGGAAGGAAGGAAAGAGATAGAGAAGGAAGAGGAGAAGGAAAGATGGGAGGGAAGGACGGAAGGAAGGAGGGAAAGAAGGAGAGAAAGAGGGAAGGAAGGAAAGATGGGAGGGAAGGAAGGAAGGAAGGAGAGAAAGAAGGAGAGAAAGAGGGAAGGTTGGCCACAGCAACACGTGGCGGGTAAAGGTTGTTATTTCTATTATTATTATGCTATTATTCCTATGAGACCCTTTTAGGGGGAATGGGAGAGGTGTCAGGTCCCAGAGGCAATGCATTGCATTATTGTTATTGTTATGATGGTGGTGAAATAAAAGGAAATAAAAAGAGAAAGAAGGAAGCAAACAGGGAGGGAAGAAAGGCAAAGGAAGAAAGGGGGAGGGAATGAAGGAAAGAGAGAGGATGAAACCAAGTAGTGAAAGAAGGAAAGAAAGAGGTAGAGAAGGAAGAAAGGAGAGAAAGGGGGAGGAAAAGGGGGAAGGAATAGGTAGGGACCTCTCTTTCATAATAGTCCAGATATCTACCTCAACTTTGATAAGTTTTACTATAGGCCACAGCAACGCGTGGCAGGGCACAGCTAGTATAGTATAAAAGACAAAGCCATAAAACACAATCTTCAATGTCTCCTTACTAAAATCATGATCCAAGTGCATCGTGATACATGACACGTAATACATGACATGTGCATCATGATTTTAGTGCATCGTGATACATGACATGTATCCCAACATTTCTGGTGATGCCCACCAAACCCTTCTGGTGCTTATAGTTTAATCTGGAACATCCATATTGCCCAGTATTTTCAAGAGCAACATCTATGACCAGGAACAGCAAACAGTAGAAGATGTACTCTAATATTACGTATCTTTACTAGTCGTCCCCTGCTACGCATTGCTGCCGCCCACATGGGGGTTCTGCGTGGGAGGTTTGGCCCAATTCTATCGTTGGTGGGGTTCAGAATGCTCTTTGACTGTAGGTGAACTATAAATCCCAGCAACTACAACTTTCAAATGTCAAGATTTTATTTCCCCCAAACTCCACCAGTGTTCACATTTGGGCATATGGAATATTAGTGCCAAGTTTTGTCCAGATCCATCATTGTCCGAGTCCACATTGCTCACTGGATGTAGGTGAACTATAACTCACAAACTCAAAGTCAATGCCCACCAAACCCTTCTAGTGTGTTCTGTTGGTCATGGGAGTCCAGTGTGCCACGTTTGGTTTAATTCCATCATTGGTGGGGTTCAGAATGTTCTTTGTAGGTGAACTATAAGTCCCAAAAACTACAACTCCCAAATGACAAAATCATTTTTTTTGTGAAAGACATACATTGGGTTGTTAGGTGTCTTGTGTCCAAATTTGATGTCAATTCATCTAGTGGTTTTTGAGTTCTGTTAATCCCACAAACAAACATTATATTTTTATTTATATAGATTATGATCTACCTTGGGTACCTGGCGTTGCTGAGGTTTCTTTGAAAAAGTCCATTTTAATTCTCCAAAATGCATAAGGTTGTGGGTGAACTACAACTCACATCATGCCAGGTTAACCCTGAGACACTCCATCAGTATTTAAAGGTTCTCATGTTGGGCAAGTTTGCTCTAGATGCATCACTGGTGGGGTCAATGAGCTCTCTGGCTGTAGGATAAACTACAACTCCCACCATGGTGAGTCAGTCCCGACAAATCCCTTCAGTACATTCAGTTGGTCATGGGGGTTCTGTGTGTCAAGTTTGGCCCCAGTCCATCATCAGTGGGGGGGCAAAGTGCTCTTTAATTGCAGATAAACTATAAATCCCACTGCCTACAACTAACAAATGTCAAGGCCAATTCCCCATCTCACCAAATCCACTAGTATTCAATTTTTGGCATATCGGGTATGTGTGCCAAATTTGGTGCAGACCCATCATTGTTTGTGTTCACATTGCTCTCTGGATGTAGGAGAACTACAACTCCCTCAAATCAAGGTGAATTTTCCTCAAAGACCTCCAGTGTTTCTTGATGGTCATGGGGGCTCTGTGTGCCAAGTTTGGTTCAATTCCATCTTTGGTGGAGTTCGGAATGCTCTTAGCTTGCAAGTCAAGTATAAATCCTGGTACCTAAAACTCCAAAATGTCCAGGCCAATTCTCCTCCAGTAATCAAATCTCAGCATATCAGGTATGTGTGCCAAGTTTGGTCCAGAGCCATCACTGTTTGGGTTCATAGTGTGCTCTGGATGTAGGTAAACTACAACTCCTATAAACCTGTCCAAAGAACTACAGTATTTTTTGTTCGTCATGGGAGTTCAGAGTGCTCTTTAATTGCAGGTGAACTATACATCCCAGTACCTACAATTCCTATAAATAATTGTAAATTTCCTCAAAGCCTCTCTAATATGTTCTCTGTTTGCTGTGTGCCAAAGGAAAGAATAGGAAAGGGTTAAAGGAGAGGCAGTGGGTGGAGTCATGCAAATTCCACACCAATGGAGAGAGTAAGAAACACTGGGATGCCTGTGGTGGAGGAAACACATAAAATCTAGGATGAAATTGTCCCCAAATGAAAACTTTCACTTGGGTGATAGGCAGTGGAGGACATTGGCAGGGTTCTTGTACATGTTCATGGTGCTCACTATAACTTACAATGTAATTGGTGGACACCCCAGTCACATACATATTTTCACTATTTATTATATGTATGTATGCATGTATAGATAGATAGATTTATCAATTCTACTCTCTACGTGGTGCTGAAACCCAGTACTGTCAGCAGCCATATTTGCTGGGGTTTGAGACACAGGATCTCCACAAAAGTGGAAAAACTGCAAATAAATAAAACTGCTATTCTTGTTAACTAAGAGAAGACCTCTATGAGAGATCCTAGGTCAGGCAAGGGCAAACTTGGGCCCTCCAGGTGTTTTGGACTTCAACTCCCACAATTATAAAATATATTTCAACCTCTAGCAAGCTGACCTCACGTCTGAACCAGGGACAAATAGAGAGAAGGATGAGGGGCCCATTCCACTTTATTTACATCTTGAGACCTAGTCAAACATATAAGATTCCTTTACCTGGCTGCATTCGCTCCTTGGTGTACCAGATCGCAAAGCCATCCCCATTCAAATTCTTCTTTCCTTGCCCATGGATTTTGAAATGCACTTGCATCTCCCAGTCTCTCAAGTAACACGGCTATTGAAATCAGAAAAGGGGAGAGAGGGGGAGATCTGGAATGTTAGGGGCATTCGTGGAACTGGGAAACTCCATGCAATTTTATTCTGTTAAACACAATAAAGAAAAGCACAAACTACAAGAGTCATGGGGTTGTGTCTGAGGTCAGTGGCTAGCTCCTTGCATGCAAGCAAAACCAAGTGTCAACCTTCATTAAAGCCAAACAGCACAGAGAAGCATGTTCCTTGACTACTCTTGCCAGGAACCTCACCCATCCATTGTTGGTGAGCTATATTTAGAATCAAAGACAAAGTAATTAATCCCAGATGCCATTATTAAGGCATGGAATATCATACACAGATATAAAAACAAAACAACAAGCATCTGTTTAGAGATAGGAAGAGGTTTCTCTAACAAAGGTGAATAAATAATTTTTTTTAAAACAATGTCAGAAATATTAAAAAATTAATTGGGTATTTTTAATTACAAAAATGTGAGTCAAAAACTGAAAGGGCTAAATGGATGCAATGACTTAACAAAAGCTGCTGTTCAATATAAGCAGGTATGCCTGTAGCTTAGTACGTCTCAGTGTTAGTTGCCGTCAGCCTAAGAGCGGCCTCAGTGTGAGAGATCTCAGTATGAGAAGGCTCCAGTGTTAGAAAGGACCCAGGGAGAGGAAGTCCTCAGTATGAGAGGCCTCAGTATGAGAAGGTTCCAGTGTCAGTAGGCCTCGGTGTGAGAAGGTTCCAGTGTCAGTAGGCCTCGGTATGAGTAGGCCTCAGTGTGAGAAGCTTCGGTGAGAGAAGCCCCAGATTGAAGATATTGTGTGTGAAGCTCCAGTGTGAAGGCTGCTGAGTGCAAAAAGCTACTGTGTGAAGCTCCTGTGTAATTTTGGTGTGAGAGGAAGGTCAATGAGAGCAAAATTGTTTATCTGCATGAGAAAAAAAGCCCAACATGGAAGCAAAGGAAGTATAATAAACATTCACAAAACCTTCATCCTTCTATTTCTGACTTGGCTACGGTGGTCCACACTCTGGTTACATCCCGTATAGACTACTGCAACGCACTCTACATGGGGTTGCCTTTGAAGACGGCCTGAAGCTTTAAATGGTGTGGCAGCCAGGTTGCTAATAGGAGTTGGGCTCAGGGAGCATACAACTCCCCTGTTGAATCAGCTCCACTGGCTGCCAGTTTGCTACCGGGCTCAATTCAAAGTGCTGGCTTTAGCCTATAAAGCCCTAAACGGTTCTGGCCCAGTCTATCTATCTGAATGCATCTCTCCCTACGACCCCCCCAGAAACCTAAGATCGTCTGGGGAGGCCCTGCTCTCGATCCCGCCTGCTTCGCAGGCATGTCTGGCGGGGATGAGAGGCAGAGCCTTCTCTGTGGTGGCCCCCTGGCTGTGGAACTCCTTCCCTAGGGATATTAGATCAGCCCCCTATATACAGCGAATAAATGTGCATACAGATATATACTTAGAAATAATGAAGAAAAGCTAAATATAATGAAAATAAAACTATGTAGGTAGCAATGCAGCTTCAAAGCTGCATTGCTAACCTCAACTTCATGGAGAGTTAATCAAGTGTTTAAGTAATAAGAACCTGTCGCAAGAAAAACAACAACATTTTAACAAGGTCAGGGACCAGATTAAATCCTGAGGGAAGAGATTACACAGGCGATGCTAACATTGCAAAAGCCTTTTTTCCCTCTTCAGTTGCTGGTGTGATCTTTGTCCTCATTTCATCTTATCAGCATTTGGGCAATATTTCTACTTGGCTGCTCAATTCTAAATAGCGAGCTCATTTAGGCACTGGATGGCACACCCATATTCTGTCATTAAGAGGTTCAGAAAGTCAAGTAGCAAGTAAAGATCTTAAAATTCAGGGAGAACATAGGGTAAAGCCCGGGTTGGAGTGGGTTTCCAACCAATTGTGTAGCCCGTTGTCAACCTCTGCAACCTGAAAGTTGCATCTGTCAAGTAGGAAAATAAGGTACCACCTTAAAGTGTGGGGAGGCTAAATTAACTGATTTATGAGGCCATTAAAAAAAGACTTCAGCAAAAGCATGCGGGGAATGCGGAAGTACTTCATCAGTGTCGCAGATGGACGATGAAAGCGACAGCTCCCCTGGCGGCCAGAAAAAGTTAAATAGCCTCTGTGTATGTCTGTATATGTTGTAAGTCAAAATTGGCATTGAATGTTTGCCATATATGTGTACACTGTAATCCGCCCTGAGTCCTGCGGGGTGAGAAGGGCGGAATATAAATACTGTAAATAAATACTAATAAATAATAAATAAATAAAGTAAACCCCTGAACACCTCCCTAAAACATCCAAAGATCATTTAAAGCAGTCGTTCCCAAACTTATTTGGCCTACCCCCTGGAAATCAATTTCTCTAAATCTTTCTTTTATGCTTTCACCGCCCCCTTACAGTTATTCATCACCCCCAAATGAACCTGTGGCCACAGCGTGCACCAGGGGGCAACAATGGCCACTTTGGAGATCACTGATTTAAAGCTTTTAATCGTGAAGAGCCAACCAGGCATAGAGATTTGAGCGCTGGACAACAATACTAAAGACTATGCAAACCTAAGATGTAGTTTAGAAGTCTTTAACTTCCTCTGTCAAAGAGAGATAGTGCCTCACCAAACTACAACTCCCATGATTCCATTCTATTAAGTCATGATATTTAATAGGCTTGGTTGATTTTAAAAAATGTTCAAAACCCGTTTCGGATGTAGGAGACGCTGGTGGTTTGATTCTAAAGTCACTTCCATTTTTTAAAAATTCAAAACTTTCAGAAACTTCTGAATTCTTTCGTTGTTGGCAGACACACATTCACAGTAGGATAAAACAGCACTGGCACTGGGAAAACTGCCTGAACATCAAGCAAAAAGTGGGTGCTAGAAACAATATCATACGAAAGCTGACTGGCACAACCTGGGGATCACAACCAGATACAGTGAAGGGTGTCTGCGCCCTACACCACTGGAGAAATTACACTGCTTAGCCGGTATTGCACCACCTGACATCTGCCGGGAAGTGGCAGCCAATAGTGAAAGGACCAAGGCAGAGACATCTCCAGCTCATCCCTTTGGGTATCAGCCAGCACGTCAACGACTTAAATCAAGAAATAGTTTTCTAAGATCTACAGAGACACTCGCTGGAACACCTCAGCAAGCGAGAGTCCAAAAGTGGCAGGCTCAAACCCAGAACCTCAACCAATGGCTGATACCAAATGAGAGACTCCCTGGGCACACAGAAGACTGGGCAACTTGGAAGGCGCTGAACAGACTGTGCTCTGGCACCACGAGATGCAGAGCCAACCTCAGAAATGGGGCTACAAAGTGGAATCCTCGACATGCGAATGTGGAGAGGAGCAAACCACTGACCACCTGCTGCAATGCAACCTGAGCCCTGCCACATGCACAATGGAGGACCTTCTTGCAGCAACACCAGAAGCACTCCAAGTGGCCAGATACTGGTCAAAGGACATTTAATCAACTACCAAAACTTACAAATGTTGTATTTGTCTGTTTGTTTGCTTTGTTCTGTTAGAAATGTAATATAATTGACTGGTTGCCCTGACACGACAAACAAACAAAACACTGGGAAAACTTCAGGGGATTCTCCCTCCCTCATTTTTAGACCAATCCTGATGAAACTTGCTACAGTGGTAGAACACATGGACCACTGTTAGCTCACCAAATTTCATAACCTTTGACTTATCTGTGGATTTTTGGTGAATTTTCAAAATTTTATTAAAAAACATTTTTAATAATAAAGAATCTGTTCCTGGTTTGAAAGTGTTGTTTCCTGTTTCATTGGGTGGTCTTTACTTTAAAGTAGTTGTTCTACTCCAGAAACTTTGTTTGTGTGGCACAAACTGTGTTAAATTGGTGGAGAACAGAAATCATAGTACAGACCCCATCAAGGGACATCTAGACTGACCTCCTTCTTCTGGGCAGAAAGGCACCATTCAAACTCTCCTGACATCCATTTGCTTCCTCTACTGAGCTGGAGGGGACCCTCAAGACACATCCATCCATTTATTCCTTTTTGCAGATGCAATCAATCATTTTATTTTATCATTACTTACTGACTGTAAAGGGCTGGCTGGCTGTGGCTGGCTACCCCAGTGCCTTGTTCATGGCAATCAGGCCAAAGTGAAATGATTGGTTTTTAAGCAGTTTATGTTCTTTTGGCCTTCTAAAAGTTGTGCATTGCTTTGCTGCTTTCTTTAGACACCTTTGTAGATCCAATCAGTTTATTTTATATTTAGACGAAGACTGCTACAGACAGCTATTTTTGGGTCCTTCAGACATTTTGGCTAATGAGCAGCAGAGCAGTGTGGGAAATGTAGTTTAACAGCAGGGCCTTTTGCAATTTCTACCATTGGGGGCCTGGCCTTCACAAACTACAACAATGGCTGTGCTTAGCCACGCATCTCATCCCTCCTTGCATTGCCAGGGGAGGGAAAGCATGAGATTTTAAAACTTTTTAGGCTTTACCAAAGTTGCTTAATGGTTGTGAAAATTAAAATAACCTTGGGAGACATCCAAACATTATGCAATATTTCTGGGTGGTTCATTCAATCTATACTGTAAAGGCACTCATTGCTTCTCATTATGGACACTCTATTGTCTCAGCTTGCTCTGATTTTTGTTGACAGGCATCCATGAAAGCATCGAATCCTTCAAAACAAAGAGAAGACACAAAGGGTTGCTGTGAGTTTTCCGGGCTGTGTGGCCATGTTCCAAAAGTATTCCCTCCTGGTGTTATAGCAGGCATCCTCAGGGGTCTGTTGGAAACTAGGGGTGTGTTGGAAACTAGGCAAGTGAGGTTTATATATCTGTAGAATGTCTAATGCAGCTTGACATGACTTTTTAAACTGCTGTGGCTCAATGCTATGGACTCACAGGATTCCGTAGCATTGAGACACAGCAGTTTAAAAAGTCGTGTCAAGCTGCATTAACTCTTCAATGTGGATGCACCTCAAGTGAGTTCCCCTTCGGGGTATAAATATAGGAAATAAAATTTGTTTATTTATTTACTTTATTTATGTACCGCTTTTCTCAGCCCTCAGGTGACTCAAAGTGGTGAACAACATTGATACAAAACATCACGAGACAAGTATAGGGCAATTAAAAACAATTGTAACATAAATCATTAAACATCAGTATAACAATCATTAGCGCCTCAACAGTAAAATCAGAATCCAGTCTCATCATCAATTATTCCGTATTCCTATGTTCAATTACACTGTTTAATCAAATTCTTGTTCGAACAGCCAGGTCTTCACTTTCCTCCAAAATGCCAGCAGGGAGGGGGCCGATCTGATATCTGCAGGCAGGGCGTTCCACAGCCGAGAGGCCACCACGGAGAAGGCCCTGTCTCTCGTCCCCGCCAAGTGCGCCTGTGATGCAGGCGGGACAGAGAGCAGGGCCTCCCCAGATGATCTTAGTGTCCTAGTCAGTTCATAGGAGGAGATGCGTTCTGAGAGGTAAGTAGGGCCAGAACCGTTTAGGGCTTTATAGGCTAACGCCAGCACTTTGAATTCTGCCCGGTAGCAAACTGGCAGCCAGTGGAGCTGGTGCAACAGAGTAGTAAATAAATAAATAGCAAGATTTCGAGCAGTGAACCTCAGTGTCTTTGCAATTAGCTCAGTGTCTTTGGCATTAAGTTGCAGCACCTTCAAACCCATGGACTGCGTACAATATAATTGCACAAGCCGCAGCATGAAGGAGGACATCTTGTTGCAATTCCACCCAGGTGAGAGGCATTCAAACCACAAAACAGTCAAAACCATCAGGTCAAGGGCCTGTCATCAAATATGTTGCAACAGTGCAAATATAGGCAAGGAAAATAAAAAGCCAAAAGGTGCCCTAACATGTCTTTGGGTTAAAGGTGGTAGGTGGGTCTAAAATTATTAAAAACTTTAGATGCATTTGCAGAGTCTGCATTACTGGGGAATTATGTGTTATCTTCAGAAAACAAGGAGAATTCACACAACACTGCATGAAGAATCTAAACACATTTTTCCAGCTGGTGGGGGCAATTCTCATGTTTCTCACTGCCATTCCTAATTCCCACAGGGTTGTCACTATTGCAAGTTGCTTCTTTGCTCACTATATTTGTATCAACAAGCCAATTATTTCTGCTCCACTGAACTCCTAGAGCCCACCATCATGAGAAGAGAAGCCAAAGTCTCACCACTCTGTTCCAGACGGCGCCCTGCTTGCTCTGGATGTCAGGAGTGAGGCGGACAAACTGGGTCATGACCATTGCGTTGCCCATGAGTTCCCACAAGGAGGAGCTGGATGAACCGACTCCTGAAAAGTAGAGGAAAAGGTTTGGACTATTTCCTTGACCAGTGAAACCAGATTCAACATTTAACCCCATTCCTGAACATCCAAGAAACAGGCCACAAGCATCTCAATAAAAGGGGGTGGGTGGGGGTCTTTAATCTATTAGCCCTTCTACACTGCCATATAAACCAGATTATCAAAGCAGATAATCCCCATTATCTGTTTTGAACTGAATTATATGAGCCTACACTGCCATATAATCCAGTTCAAAGCAGGTAGACTGGATTTTGTGTGGCAGTGTAGAAGGGGAGTTAGACAGCTGGGCCGAAATGTAACAAAACGAATTTCAGCAAGAACAAAGTCATGGTACAACTTTTAGGCCTCTTCTAACTGCCATTTAATCCAGATTTTCAAATCAGATCATCCACATTATCTTCATTGAACTGGATCATATGAGGCCCCTTGTACACTCACCATAGTGCTCGCCATAGTTAATAGTTAATACCTTCCAGTGTAAACTTTAGCCCTCCAGCTGTTTTGGACTTCAACTCCCACAATTCCAAACAGCCTACTGATTTGTGGCTGGGATGTCCAATTACTTTGTCTACCATGGTTTTTAACTTTATAATCTATTGTTATGATTATTGTTTATTTTATTTTATTTTGATTTGATGTGTTTTATGTTAAATTTCATGTTCTGTTCTTTCGGTGCTCACTTGTATTGATTTGGGTGTTGTTTATTTGTTCAGTTGTTTCCAACTCTTTGGGACCTCATGGACCAGCCCACGCCAGAGCTCCCTGTGGCCATCACCACCCCCAGCTCCTTCAAGGTCAAGCCAGTCACTTCAAGGATAGCATCCATCCATCTTGCCCTTGGTCGGCCCCTCTTCCTTTTTCCTTCCATTTTCCCCAGCATCATTCCCTTCTCTAAGCTTTCCTTTCTTCTCATGATGTGGCCAAAGTACTTCATCTTGGCCTCTACTATCCTTCCCTCCAATGAGCGTTAGTTATTTATTTATTTATTTATTTAACTTGTATACCACTACTCCCAATTTGGCTCAGAGCAGTTTACAGAAGCAGATTAAAACAATACAATTAGCTTTAAAAATAACAATAACAAAACAATAGGCGGCGAGAACAGGCATAGTCCGGGTTGTTCACCCGTCAAAAGCTTGCCGGAAAAGAAAAGTTTTACAGGCTTTCCGAAAAGCAAGTAGGTCTCGGATGGTTCGAGTATCAACCGGCAAGGCATTCCATAAATAAGGGGCCACGATCGAGAAAGCTCTATGCCTAGTAGATGACAAATGATAAGTCCGGATGTTAGGGACTGCAAGCAAATTTTGGTCTTCAGACCAAAGTACTTCATCTTTGCCTCTAATATCCTTCCCTCCAGTGAGCAGTCAGGCTTTATTTCCTGAAGTATGGACTGGTTGGATCTTCTCGCGGTCCAAGGCACTCTCAGAATTTTCCTCCAGCACCACAGTTCAAAAGCATCTATCTTCCTTCGCTCAGCCTTCCTTATGGTCCAGCTCTCACATCCATAGGTTACTAATGGGAAATTCCATTACTTTAATTATGTAGATTTTCATTGCCAGTGTGATGTCTCTACTCTTCACTATTTTACCGAGATTGGTCCTTGCTCTCCTCCCAAGAATAAATGTTTTCTGATTTCCTGGCTGCAGTCTGTGTTTGCAGTCATATTCACACCTACAAATACAAAGTCTGTCCCGGCCTTCATGTTTCCCCCTCTATCTGCCAGTTATCAATCAGTCTTATTGCCATCATCTTGGTCTTTTTGATATTCAGCTGCAACCCAGCTTTTGCGCTTTCATCTTTCACCTTGATTAGAAGGCTCCTCAGCTCCTCCTCGCTTTCAGCCATCAAAGTGGTGTCATCTGCATATCTAAGGTTGTTAATGTTTCTTCCAGCCATTTTTACCCCAGCCTTGGATTCATCAAGCCCTGCATATCACATGATGTGTTCTGCATACAAGTTGAATAGGTTGGGTGAGAGTATACAACCCTGCCGTATGCCTTTCCCAATCTTGAACCAGTCTGTTGTTCCATGGTCAGTTCTTACTGTTGTTACTTGGTACTTATACAGATTCCTCAGGAGAGAGACAAGGTGATTTGGTATGCCCATACCACCAAGAACTAGGCAAAACTACGGTGAGGTGGATCTGTAATTGGTTAAATGGACGAACCCAGAGAGTGCTCACCAATGCTTCCTCTTCATCTTGGAAAGAAGTGACAAGTGGAGTGCCGCAGGGTTCCGTCCTGGGCCCGTTCCTGTTCAACATCTTTATTAATGACTTAGATGAAGGGCTAGAAGGCAGGATCATCAAGTTTGCAGACGACACCAAATTGGGAGGGATAGCCAATACTCCAGAGGACAGGAGCAGAATTCAAAACGATCTTGACAGATTAGAGAGATGGGCCAAAACTAACATAATGAAGTTCAACAGTGACAAATGCAAGATACTCCACTTTGGCAGAAAAAATGAAATGCAAAGATACAGAATGGGGGACGCCTGGCTCGAGAGCAGTACGTGTGAAAAAGATCTTGGAGTCCTCGTGGACAAGTTAAACATGAGCCAACAATGTGATGTGGTGGCAAAAAAAGCCAATGGGATTTTGGCCTGCATCAATAGGAGCATAGTGTCTAGATCTAGGGAAGTCATGCTACCCCTCTATTCCGCTTTAGTTAGACCACACCTGGAATATTGTGTCCAATTCTGGGCACCACAATTCAAGAAAGATATTGACAAGCTGGAATGTGTCCAGAGGAGGGTGACTAAAATGATCAAGGGTCTGGAGAACAAGCCCTATGAGGAGCGGCTTAAGGAGCTGGGCATGTTTAGCCTGAAGAAGAGAAGGCTGAGAGGAGATATGATAGCCATGTATAAATATGTGAGAGGAAGTCATAGGGAGGAGGGAGCAAGCTTGTTTTCTGCTTCCCTGGAGACTAGGAGGAACAATGGCTTCAAACTACAAGAAAGGAGATTCCATCTGAACATGAGGAAGAACTTCCTGACTGTGAGAGCCGTTCAGCAGTGGAACTCTCTGCCAGAGTGTGGTGGAGGCTCCTTCTTTGGAAGCTTTTAAGCAGAGGCTGGATGGCCATCTGTCAGGGGTGGTTTGAATGCAATATTCCAGCTTCTTGGCAGAATGGGGTTGGACTGGATGGCCCATGAGGTCTCTTCCAACTCTTTGATTCTATGATCCACAGTCCAAGGCTTTAGAACAGTCAAACAAACAGAAATAGATGTTTTCCTAAAACTCCCTGCCTTCCTCCATTATCCAGCATCATTTGGTCTTTTGCTCCTCTACCTTCTCTAAACATTTAGGTTTAGAAAATGATTTAGGTTATTGGATGTATATTTTATATTGTTCTTGGTTTGCACTGTTGTTGCCTTATGAGACACCCAAGTCCCTCTGGGGAGATGGGTCAGAATACAAATAAAGTTTTGGGGGTTTTTTGTCATGTCAGGAGCGACTTGAGAAACTGCAAGTCGCTTCTGGTGTGAGAGAATTGGCCGTCTGCAAGGATGTTGCCCAGGGGACGCCCGGATGATTTTGATGTTTTTATCATCCTTATGGGAGGCTTCTCTCATGTCCCCGCATGAGGAGCTGGAGCTGATAGAGGGAGCTCATCCGCCTCTCTCTCTCAATAATAAAGTTGTTTATTATGATGATTATTAATTATTATGATTATTATTATGATGATGATTAATATCTACGTTCCAAATTTCCCTGTACCTGTAATTGAATTTTCTTTTGTTATTAGCAAATATTTCATAATATTTGCAATATTTAATAAGTCAAAATCAAATTAAAAAATAATAATAAAATCAAACATTTCAGAGAAGGGATGTTCGGGGTACATCTTCCACACAGGAACCTTAACGCAGTTTGACACCACTTTAGTTGCCATGGGAACCTGGGAGTTCCGCATAGTCTCGAAGTTGAAGAGTGAGGAGTATGATCCCACCAAACTACAAATGTCAGAGGAGCCCTGAGGGGTGGCAATTTCAAGTGGTATTAAGCGGCGTTAACTCTGTCGTGTGGACGCCCCTTATAATTCGAATGGAATCAAAGGGAAGGCTCACCTTGGTAAGGCGTGATGAGGGAGTGTTCCCGCTTGAGGTGCTCATCCATCTGCTCGGCCTTGGCCCCCCAAAACAGGACCAAACAGACCCCCCAAAGCCCCACTTCGCCCCAACAAGCACCCTCCACCGCCATCTTGCTCCTTCTGACTGAGAGCCCACCTCCTTTGACCAACGGCTAGGGAACGCGGTCTGATTGGCTCTCCCTTGAAGCCCCGCCTACTTCCGCGTGCCACCCGCCCTTTCAGTGGCTGCAGGCCACGCCTGTTTCGTAACTCCGCCCAGAGGAGGGCGTCACGCCTACTTTGAGACCGCTGAGGATGCCGGGAAATGTAGTTCGCCTTTCTTCTTAAAGGGGCCGCTTAAAGCAAAAGGCGCCAAAAAATGGTCAGTTGTGATTTTGGTTGAATTGTGAGGAAA